CCTCAGAGACAGTGGAACATCATCTGTTCTTCTGTAGAAAACTAACTGATTTAAGGGGATGTTTTCTTCCCAAGCGACCCCACTCATCTAATTGCCTCTACTCCTCAAGACAACAATTAGAACAAACATGCAACTATTACCGAATGGCATCATGCAGAAGAGTTAACGCTCAGATGCTACTGGATCGCTAACAACAACAACAACAACTCATTCGCTACGTATTATTTTCAGCTAGTGGACAAATTTTTTTCGGGAAGGCGAAATGAGATGGTGACTAGTGCTCAGTTCACAGATTTTGGGGCCACAAATTCAAATAATATCAGCATATTATTATATACCTAAATTTTCAGAATGGTTTGTAGAATACATCTGTAATATTTAGTTGTGTATTTTTCGACTTTGGTTCTTGTAAGAGGCGATTATGCATCAAAATTTTGCTTAGATGCGGATAAAATTTGAAAATACCTTAATAATACATCAAAATAACCAGAAATGAATATAGAACTGGAAAATATTGAAGTATTTGTAGTTGTTTACAAACATTCCATAAATTTCAGCATAAGATCCGATACTGAAAATAAAAAAATAAAAATTATAATCTTAAAAAAAGGACAAGATGCATGTACAAACAGAAAAAAACACTCATATCTTATATGAAAATATTCAGAATTGCACTTGGAATAAACCAATACGTGTCTTGAGTGGTACTTTTTGTGTAGTTTCACCAAAAAATAGTGATTTCGGGGAGAAAAAAATATTTTGACAATTTAGATCTAGACCTAGATCTAGCCCTAAAAAATATTGATTTCTCAATAACCAATCACTGGCAATTTGAGTCCAATAGTATCAATATTCGAAAGATGAGTCCAACATTTTTCTTTAGTGAGCAAAATAATTATACATTTTGTTGTATAAAAGTAGGCCTACTAAGACTGGTGTCAGGGCTATAATTTGGGCCTCGCGATAAAACAAAGTCGCATAAACTTTGAAATCGTGTTTCAAAACTGAATCAAAACTTCAGATTTTCGGTGAAAACGCTTGACCCGGAAGTCAACGTTATATTATAACCTTTATTTTAACATGGATATGTGGATTGGAATAAAATCTAAGCTAGAATTATAGGTCGGTTCTCAATCCGTCAGGGGCTCCTTGGCGTACGGTACCCACTTTCGCCACGCGGCTGCCAATGGCTCGGCGTAGCGAATGAGTTAATAAACTGCAAGGAAAGATGCCCAGAAAATAATGGCATCATCCACACCTATATCTTTTACTTCTACATGTGTGATTATTTGGACCAATTATAGCCTTCCTCATTCTTGTGGTAGTTTTTTTTCTCACATTTTTCTTCATTATTCAAGAAAAAATTTTTGAGGTATAAAAATCGATTAGCAATTTTAATTGATGAGCACAATTAGAAATCTAAAATGAGTCTGAGATGGAATGTGTCAAATTCTTGGATATTCTTTGGCCATATCTTTAAGAAAATGGTACAGTGTGATAATGCGAAAATGTATACAGTGGAACTCGGATTCAACGAGGTTGCCGGGCCTGACCTAAAATCTTGTTGAATCCGAGTGTTCGTTATAAGCAAACACAAGGTTTTGTATACATCATTACAGGCACTGAGCAAGTAATGTATAGAGAGAAGTCGCAAGTAGTGCCTGAAATGCTTGCATATTATGAGCAGTGTAAAAAAGACCGATTTGTTCAAATGCACACACCTGTGTATTGTTTACCAAAAAGTTGTGTTGCTGTGTAGAGCCTAGCATACGGCAACTTTTGATTCCATAGACCAGGGCACAATTCATTACGTAGATATCTACGTCAAGACTAGCTTTTTTCATTGTTATAATGATCAGTTGCCGAGGGGAAAAAAAGACTATGACGCGTTTGTATCTGACATTCAACGCCCGGACGGCTAGTGCCCCCCCCTCCTTCCCCGACACGCACACAGCCACACGTGTGCAGGCCGCCCATCCGATCCCGACACATGCCAGAGTAAGTAGACACATGCGCATGCCAACAACGCGTGCGTTGGTATTAAAAAAGGCCGCTGATGGGTCGCATGCTATCGGCTAAGTGAATTTATAATGGTTCACGATGCAAGTGCAATAGATGGTTTTCGGGAATAGATAGAGTTCGTTTTGGGAGAAAAATGAACGAAGCCACGTCTGCGGGGGCTGTTCACCCTGGAAGTGACCTCGTTGAATCCGAGCTTACTGATTCTGTGCTCGTTGAATCCGGTTATTTTTATTGATCTTAAAGAGAAAAAAAAACGGGGAACCTATCTCATCTCGTTGAATCCGAGTTCTCGTTGAATCCGAGTTCCACTGTATATACTTTTACAATAGTCTGACTTTTCACAATTGTCTGTCTTTCACTATGGTCGCTTTTAAGCACAGGGGGGGGCTATCCCGAAAAGTGCTGTTTTTCAGAAAATCGTAGGTAAAGTTTTTGCCCCGTGTTCAGTGTTTTTAAAAGACAAGGTGAGTTTTCTCTATAACCAAACAAATGTACACACCAATGAAACCAAACTTCTCTTGTAGTTAGGGCAATGCCCACTTTAAGTGTTGGTCAAGATTTCTCTCCTCCTTCTGTGTCTAAATTACTCAGTCAGTCTGGATTAGCCTGCTTGTCCTTAAAAGCGACCTATTGTCTGTCTTTCACCATGACAACTGTGTGCTGTGTCTGTGACAAATGTGCGCTGTGTCTGTGGCCAGGTGGACATGGCGGAGATCAAGCGAGCGTTCAACGCCATGTACGGCAAGCCGCTGTCCAGCTTCATCAAAGGAGACACCAGTGGGGACTACCGCAAGACACTCATGGGACTGGTGGGGGAGTGAGGCCGGCCATGCCAGGCGCTTTGATGGCAGTTTGATGCTGGGGAGGTTGTGTGTGTGTGTAAACTGTTTTAGAGAATAAGGAGGTAGGGGTGAGATCACGGGAGGTAGCGGGGAGATCACGGGAGGTAGGGGGGAGATCACGGGAGGTAGGGGGGAGATCACGGTAGAGATGAGAGATGTTTTTTCCAAGGTGTAATTATGACTCATAGACAGTGGGGAGGGGGGGACGTGGAAAAGATGAGAAAGATGGTTTCTCTGTTGGTCGCCTTGTCTCGTCTGTGAAATGTCCAGACATGGGCGGTGACTGGAGTGTGTCATTGCTGTGTCTCGTAGCGTCTGTCAGATGAGACAGTTTTGCTCTCAACCTGTAGCAAGGGTTCTGCACTACGGCTCAAGAATCAGAACGTGGAGTGGTCTATGAGTCTGTGTGTCTGTCTGTGAGTCTGTTGGTCTGTCTGCCAGACTGTGAACTTGTTCTGTCTCGGCTTTTGCTTTGTGGTGTTTATAACGGGGATTCTACATTTTTTGTTACATTCATTTTTATATTTTTAGTTTACATCTCCAGAGTTTTTTTGACTTGCCGCAGTTTTGTTTTTATGCATTCAGCGCACACTTGTTGGTTGGAAAGCAATTACTGATGTTTGTACAAACTGTGTGTTCCCAATGTCGTCCCAATGTAGTCTCGTCAGCGGTACTCTATCAGCGCAAGGCTGGCTGCCATATTTCTTGTACAATGTCTGCACGGTGGTGAAGAAATGGGAGGTGTTGGTATCACCATGCTGACATTTCAAGTGTTTTCTACGCCGTTTCTATGCCGTGTTGATAGATCACCACACAAACGCTTACAGCCGTTTCTGCGCGGCGTTTTGTTAGATCACCATGCAGATCCTTCAAGTCATTTCTACGCAGTTTCTACGCCGTTTTACTCCATATATTATCATTAGTTATTGTATTGTAGCTTTTTTAGTCACTTTCTTAGTTCCTAGTATGGACACATTTTCTTGTAGAACATTTATTTTGTGTTTTGTTTTGTTTTGTTTTGTTATTGTGCTGTCAAAATGATCCTGTGTTTGTCGGAAAAGTTTGGTGTAACTGAGGTGACCTTGTTATGTCTGTGTGATGTAGGGGTGTTGTTTGTGTGTCATCTTTTCTGTGTGTCGTGTTGTCATAATGTTTGCGCCTTGTGTGTTTTGTTTCCTGACGTCTATCTCCGACATTTCCCGCGCATGTTTTTGAACTAAGGGAAATAAATGATGAAAATGAAATTACGATCTGTGATACAGAAAAGTTTCCTCGTTCAAACCATTTGGGTTCCATTTTTCCAGAATTTTATTGAAAAGCCCACAACTTTTCCAGTGTATTCCAACCATTGTTTTGGACAAGTGTTTGTCTCTCTCCGGGCTCCCATGAGTTGTTCCTGGCGTCTGGTCGTGGTCTCAGGTTGATCATTTCAGCGCTTACAGACAGGAGGACTTAGTGTCAGTGACAAAAGTCTTTTATTATAGAAAAATATTTTTCACTGCCGGAGTTACTTCCCCTTCCATGGTGTTGTCTGTAGCCACGCGTCGCTCCGGTTCCCGTCATGAATGCTTCTGTCTAGAGCCGCGTGTCACACCAGTTCTCGTCATGAATTCGTCCGTTTTTTATTTCCCCAGCAATACCTATTATATTGAAAGGTTTTCCGCGTTGAGATTGGTAGATACCTCCCACTGTCGTCCGGTTCCTTCCTTCCTTCATTCAACCGGACCAGCTTTCCAAAGAGGAAATTTACTCGTTCATCTGGTCCGTACGCTTTGCATAGAAGTCTGTCAAAATGATTTTTTAAAGAAATACTGAAAGTTTCAAAGAGTTCTTATCGTACTTAGAGAAGTATTCTAAAATGTGAAGAATACAACAACCCTGGTGGTACAAAAGAACCCCGGGGCGTACGGACAGGGTTGATTCAGGGATACAGTTTGTTACTGTGTGTTGTGTGTTTACCTGACTGTGGTATCTGTTCCTCTATATATATCTAGACTTTGTTGCCTACGCCTCTATGGTGCTTTTCCTCATCGTGGTTTGTTTTTCCCACCCTTCAAGAATTACCCAGTCATGGCATTATTTATATATTGTATCTTGCATTAGGTCTATTATATTTATATTGTATCTTGCATTAGATCTATTATATTTATATTGTATCTTGCACACATTTTTTTGGTCCTTCTCTTCACCGTTGAATGCCTTTCTTCAGAACTCTCCACGCCACCAAAATGTGTCGGCTCTGTCCATCACAGGGAACAACCACATTGGGAGACATAATGGAGCAGTTTCCTTTGATACATGGAGCCGTTACCTAGTTTCCTTTCATATATTTGTCTGTCATGTATTCATAATTTTTTTTCATTTCCTTTCAGCTTTGTTTCAGTGTACGCTTGCTCATCTTTATACTTTTGTCTTTTTTTTTTAAAGTAGAATTTAAATCAGTACAGAATCAGTTATCATGTTTCAAGGACAAGTTCCTGTAGTTTTTGTTTTTATAGCATAATGTGTTTCTAGAAAAAGATTTAAGTGGGTGACTTAGACATAGTTTAATACAGTGCTCCAGAAAAAGATTGAGTAATTTAGACATAGATCTAGTTTACTACAATGTACCAGAAAAAAAGATGTGAGTGAGAAACTTAGACATTGTTGAATTAACTGAGTGACGTAGACTGCCAGAGGTATGGTCATCAACTAGATCTATGTCGTTACGCACAATTTGGGTCAACGTTGATACAAACGTTGACAAGCTTGATTCTGCTCCGATAGTTTTCCCTCAAAAACAGAAAGTGTTCAACAAAAGTTTGTTTTAGTATAGGCCCTTAAAAATTATGGCTTTTTTTTTTCATCACTTTCATTTATTGGGCAATGCTAACAATCTGACAGGAAAGAATTTGATTTTTGACGTACCCGAACTTGGAAATAAAATCAAAACATGTTTGGAGACTGCGTCAACGCTTGATCTGTTTCCTTCTCTGGTGGTTTCTTTGTGGTCTTGTTCTTGTATTTGTAGACTGTTTTGTTTGTTCAAAAACTGTGGTTTCTTTGTTGTGTTTTTCTTGTTTGTTCAAAAAACATGTATGTTACAGCGCCCTACCAAATTCATCAGGTAGGCCTATGTACTTTACACACACACACACACACACACACACACACACACACACACACACACACACACACACACACACACACACACACACACACACACACACACACACACACACACACACACACTTCCAATATCAATACACAGGCTACCGTACCTTAAAGTGAAGAAAAAAAGAAAATTTGAACCAGTCAGTGGCAGAAAAGAAGTAACTGACTCAGAACTGACCAAACCTTGAATTTGAGACGAAAAACATTATTAGATATTATTACTGCAAAGAGAGAGACAAGAGAGAGAGAGAGAGAGAGAGAGAGAGAGAGAGAGAGAGAGAGAGAGAGAGAGAGAACCATAAGTGGCAGGGTTTGATAATGTTCTAAATTATGTTTCTTGTTAGCATTAGGTAATAAATGCATGTTATGTTATTCAATTAACTTGACAGCAAGTAAAGTCACTGATATCAGTCCTAATCCTGCCGCCACTTACGGTTTGGACCTCAATTAAGGGAAGGGTTTGTTTTCTTCATTTTGAGCAGTCCTGCCTCAGACACCCACCTGTCCTATACGACCACTGTATTCTCCTGTGTAGTCTGAGTTGTAAGCTAGTCTGACATGAGCATCGTATAAAACAGTCTAGTGGGCAGCTATTTAGCTATTTGCTCTGTTACACAGTACCCTGGAACTTTGAGCCCTGCGATGATAATTCTGCATGCTATGCAAATTAGTAACCGAAGTTTTAATTACGAACAAAATAAAAGTGGGAAAAAAAGCAGGGCTTAAATTTAATACAGGTTCAACGTTTCACCCTGGAAAGGGTTTCGTCCAGAACATGATACAAAAAGTAATGTAAGATCTAATGACTACAAGCTTTCGCAACAAAAGTGCGCGCATCCAAGTCATTAATGCCGAAAGGTGCGATAAAATCAAATCGGGAAAACCAAAGAAAATTGAAGGCCATGGCAAGAAGTGGTATGGATATAAAATAGTATGTACGTCAAATCAACCATTAATATTAATATAAAGGTAATTATAGTAGTAGCAGCAGCAGCAGCAGTAGTAGTGGAAGTCACAGTTGTAGTAGTAGTGTAGTAGTAGTATCATCATCGTCATCATCATCATAATTTAAATAATAATAACAATAATAATAATATTAATAATAATAATTATCATTATAATAGCCTAATAATGATGATGCTAAAAAATAATAAGACATGAAGTATAAAATAATAGTAATAACAATAATAATAATAATGATAATAATGTTATAATATTATGATAATTATGATCGTAATAATAATAATTTAAAAAAAAAATAATAATAATGAATAGAAGACAATTTTTGCATAAAGATGCCTAAATCATATTATTACAATGTATTGTAAGGAAATAAAATAATAATAATCTTACAAGTAATGCTACGTAAAAACTGTGGGCGAAACAACGTCTGTAAGTGACTGCTACAAACTACCAGGCGTTGACCTGCGAGGGTTTGAGAAAGCGAAACAACAACAAAGAAATCTCCCAGGATACCTGGCTGGACGCGGCCTGGACAAAGGATGGACAGTCCGAGAAGCCGGGCACCTTGGTCATGTGATTACTACAAGCCTGGTCCAGCGTGGGGAAAAGAGCTGAAGCCAAGACCAGTTCACCATTTGACAAGTTGCACGCCTACTGACAAGTGGAGAAAGGTAAGATGTTCTAGAAATCTATTAACCTTTTTCCTCAACCACAAGAATCTTTTCTCTACATTACATCTTGTTGTTATACACGTGTAGCCTACACCTGACCCTCTTCTTCATTGTTGTGTGTTTTCGTCATCGTAGATTTTCTCTTTGATTGAGCATTTCTACCCCAACCCACCAGCCTTTCTTTGTTTTATGATATAATACCTTTACCCTTCTTGTTTCATAATTTAGGTTAGGCTATAGCCAATTCATTGTTCATGGCATTTGTTGTGTCACTGTTTTCACGGCTATGCTGGAGCAACACAAAGACAGAAACCACTCTGGAGGTACACAAATGTGTGCACGTTCAAGAAAAGACTACCATCCTAATTATTAATAGATCTCTAGGCCCTTATTTAAATTTAAAGTTATGATTCATTCTATTCAAGTTCAAGAAAGAACAGTTGTACTATTGGCACTGTGACCGGCCATTTAGAATAAATCACAGGTTTGTCATGTCCTCATGTCTCTTTCACCCATGTTGTTTCAAGTTTGTCAACTAGATCTAGAATCTAGACCTAGACCTATAATTAGTATCGGAGTGCTTATTGGCCCACAGGGGCATATAAAATTTCCCCAAGAACATTTATTATTTGCCCACAAAATTGTGAGTTTTCTCCCCTGTGTTTGCCCCCCCCCCCCCCCCAATCCACAAATGGTAATTTTAAATAAAAATACAACAGCAAAATCCCCATTAAATATTAGAGAAACTATTGGTATTTTTTTACTTTCCCTCCCGTCTCACACTCAGCTACCAGTTGTCTATTTTCTACTAAATATTGATGCGCTGAACACGAATATCAACTTCATTTCCGTCGCAAATTAATGGTTTTTGAAATATTTGATTGTTTTTAACCGAGATGGACATGCTTTGGACCAATCGGGGGGTTCCAGGGGGGCCTGCCGCACTGGGGTAAAAGAAAATCTGGGGGGTTACAGGGGGGCATGCCCCCCTGTTTTTACACCCATAATTTGATATTTTACAGTTAGATTTGAAATTGTCTTGAAAATAATTGATTTGCGACTGTTTTAGTGGCTTTATGTGTGATCTGCAGCAAACAGTACAGCAGTTTGACCCCTGAAACAGTGCATCTGTGTGCGGGAGTGAAAGTAAAAATTTACCAAACTATTTTATACTATAATTATTATACACTTCTCACACCTGAAAGTAAGTCAATTTCTACCATAATATTAAGGAGTATAGATCTAGATCTGAATGACTCCCAAACCAACAAGATCCCAAAAGATAACAAAAACTCATTTGTGTTATTAAGGATACAGAATGCTAATAGTAATCGAAGTGACTATTTCTCCGAACGTTCGGAGAAATAGTGCCGATCTTTATTTCTCCGAATGGTTTCCGGCTTCCGGTCTCGTGATTTTTTGTCTATTTATTGCGAGAGTTCGGCGCCAACTTTCATTCTGCCTCTGGCCTCTGGCCTG